GAAAGAATATACCACAGCATCTTTGCAATTTCTGTCCCTGAAATATTTAAATGCCTTGCAAACAACATTTGTGACCTTCCCTCTCTTAGAAATGGGACGGTGGAAAGACACTGGCTTTCAGTCCCATTCTACAGTATGGGACAGAAAAAAATCCTATGACCAGGATCCTATTTGTTTAAAAAAATTGCAGCCCCATAAACAACCTTAATGATATTAATGCTTTTGGAATAATGCTGCAGTAATGGTGAATAAGGAGACTGCAGCATCCTTATCTTCCGTGAAGCCTTCTATTTGATGCCACGAGGGGGAACTGAACTAGAGACATCTCTGTGAGGCAGAGTAGTTGTACTGACTTTACGTGGGCTCCATTTCTCTTAGTTTTTAAAGATTTTCATTTTACTCTAGGAGCAAAATGAAAACAGTAATATCTTTGAATATTTAACAATACTGATATTTGAATGGAATAATGATATAAAGCTTACCACGCTCTATTTTGATCTCCTGATGACATAGCCATAAAAATAAATTAGTTTCCATTTCTGAAGTTAAGGCGTACAGAGGGAGCATACTCTTGTATTTAAACACCATGTGTTTAAAATTGCTAATAGTTTACCTGTCCTTTTTTCATCCAAATGATCAGAGGATGCTACTACTTTGCTACTCCTGTTGCTTCTTACTGCTCTGACTGCCTAGGTAGCAATGTCTGACTAAATCCACAACCCAGCTTTGAAAAACTAAGTGTAAGACAGTGCTGAAAAGAATTTGAGTAGGTTACTAGTCACAATGGAGCACTTTTTCCTTTCCTGATTAAAAAAAAAAATTTAGAACAAACAGCCCTTATGGTATTATTGGTATCTGCAAATTAGGGGTTTTGGCATAGTGATACTGAAAATTAAATTGGTTTTTGATCCAATACTAACTGTGCAACAGTTTCTAATTTAGAAAGACAGAAAAGAATTTCGTTTTGTGCAGTGTGAAAACAAAGAACGTTGCACTGTATCACAAAGTTAACATATTAAACCGTACCATTATGACAGAACTTAAACTTCCAGGTGAATGGAAACAAATAAACGCCACTATTAAGAGTAGGACTAAATATTCATAACTATATAATCCAGATATTCCTGGATGGTATAATTGACAGCTAACTTCACCAGTCACTGAAATAATAAAACATCATGTAGACCAAACAGCTTATTTTTGATTCTTACAGGGAAAAGATGGACCAACAACAGTATACAATGATTACAGTAGATCACAAACGAAACATGAATCAACAATGTTGTTGCAAATGTTGTGAACACCATACTGCAAAACATGTTACTTCATTCTTCTGCTGTATTCCACTCTGATAGATCTGACCTATTGAAGGTCTGAAAAAAAAATGCAGAGAAGTGGAAAACTCTTCCCCTGGTCCTCCAAAAAATTCAGGTTTGTAGTTGAAAGACTTAGACAATAGCATACAGGTTTTAAATATGTAAAACTCTAAGAGAAAGAAAATAGTCTATTACCCAATGTGCACAAAATGATTTTCAGAAAGCAAAATTCATCTTCGATATAAAGAGCTTTCTATAATAACTACAGTGAAGCACCAGAAGAAACTCATTGTAAAACTTGACAAGTTGCAGAACCTGCATCACCAGAGGTTTTTTAAATTTAGCCTGTCTTTAAAAAGTAGGCTATGGTATTGATCCTCTTGCAGTGAGAGGGAGGAGACTGAATGTCTTTTTGAACTCCCACTGATTTCACAATTATTATTTTAGATTCCATTTCAATAAATTGTACGGACCTCCAATACAAATACCTGAACAAAGAAGTCCTGTTCTGTAATTAAGGTTCTGTATTTTGAAGAGGCAAGTATAGAAAATCAAAGTGAACTAGTAGTGAAATCTCAAGGTTCTGAATGAGAGAGGACATGAATTCTTTCAAACTACGGTGTAAAACACATTTATATCTTGAATCTCCAGCCATTGAAAAATCTTTTTTTTTTATAGAAGATGAGATAGATATACTCCAAGATGAGTAACAACCTAAAGCTGCTTTAAGTATAAACATAATCTACAAGAGAACAACAACTGGCCTTCAAAAACTCAGGAAAAATGGCAATAAAAGGTAGAATCACCTAATGGCCATGCCATTGAGGCTTTGAGAAACAGTATCCCAAAACAAAGCAACAAACCTCCCGAAACCAAAACCAAAACAACAGTAAGTGGTTTAGTCACATAAAAAGTAAAAAGGAGACTGAAAACACTAAAGATGTACAAACCCTAAATTAAAACTTTGCCACCATTTTTGATAAAAGCAATGATGCTGATCACAGGTCAGGGACAGAATGGCATGTGAATGAAGGCATGGAAACAAAACCTTTTGGCTTCCAAGGGAAAATAAACATGAGCTTCCTGTTATGATGGAGAGTTCACTAAATTTCCACTTCACAACTACAACAGAACTGCAATATGAAAACTATTTCAATCCTACACAGTTTTAAATTAAGTATATCAAATCAGTAACATATATTACGAGAAAACGGAACACTGGTATCTATAAAATAAAAAGGTGACCCAAATAGCCATAGGCAATTATCCTCAAGTTCTGCATGTGTTTTAGACCAATAGAAAGATGACTTTCTCCCAAAAGGTATCTGAAAAATAGGACAAAATTGTACAGAGGTTTACGTCTGGTAAACATTCACCCAGTTAGCCTCTCTGAAGACAAGCGATTTTCAAAGGAAAACTAATAGATCTAATTTATGTGGCCTTAACACCTGCTGCAGCACCAAGACTGAAATCACTGGCTGGCTGAAGATTATACAATAACATTCAATAACTAAGAAAAAGATAAAAACACACCATGCTGAAAGGTAAACTGTCCAAGAGAACAGAAGGTCCTAGCAGAGTTCTTACAATTCCTTGAGAATTACTCTGGAAACTAGTTTTATTGAACTTTCTCCAATTAGTCGTGAGGGTCCAAGAAACATTTTCTGACTAAGGCAGAAGGTAGGAAATTATGTGACTGCAGAAGCCACCATACTGTTTTTCAAAGATAACTCATTAACCTTGAAATCTGAAATTACAAATGAGATTAAACAGTCCAAAATGAATGAAACCAAAAAAATTAAAGTAAAACAAATTGCCATGAGGCTGAGATACAAACTCATGGTTCCAAAATGACAGAAGAAAAAACCCCTACCCTTCAAACCTCAAAGTTTCTATCAATACTTAACTACAAGTTAATTATATGATACAGCTATGAACGGGGCATAGGTGACTCAAGAAAGCATCAGCAGAGGTACTTCCAGCAAGCACACAGATCCAGTGTACAAGACACTGGATAGATACCATATAAAATACCACGTAATTTCTAGTTTCTCATACTCAAAGATCAATTCAACCTAGAAAAGACTGCACACAAAGGTGTTAAGAGGAAGGATCATGCAGCAGAGACTAATTCTTCCTAAAGAAAGCTAAGAGTATCTCTGCCTTGGTTCAAAACAAAATAGAGGTGTTACTACTGTTTCCAAAAGCACAGTGGAGAACATCAGGAAAGGGAAATATATAAACATTTAGTAAATGGACTTAAACCAGCCACAAACAGGTTAGAATGGGAGAATTATAGTGAACTTTCAGCCATCATAGAATGAGGGTCTGAAACACATCTTGAACAGCAGTGAAAGGGGAAGAACCACCCACAGGTTTCAAAGTGAAATGCCATAAACTTGCAGTTCTTAAAGACGTTGTGGTCTACAGTAGCAGGGGACTGGATGTGATCACCCATGAAGCCTCTTCTACTCTTATGTCCTTATATTAGGCAAGAGATCTACACACAAAGTAATTCAGCTTCAGCAAGCAGTAGCATCCACCATATAACATTCCTTCAGTACATCTACAGAGTTGTATTAGACCGGGATGGCTATACAGCCTGACCTTCTTTGGATGTACAGAGTCATTTGGAAGTGCAAGCATCAGATTGAGTATCACGGTCTTAGAGGGATTAGGAAAGGAAATGAGAACCTCTAAAAGAAGAAACCTAAGTACAACAGGCCAAAACAGACTTTGCTTATTTGAGCATTTTTTAGCGAAGCGATTACACTATTTCGATTTTCACGTAAGGCTTATCAAAATAACATCTAGAAAAAATGAGTTTTGTTTAGTCTCTTTCCATCACCCACCAACCTAGCTGGTGATGCAGGGCAGGGGTGGGAAGACTGTCACAGCAAAGCAGCTATCAGAAGAGTAGTCTCCAGCAGTGGCGCCTTTTCTTCACAGGCACCACCAGAACCACACAGAGGATGCAGTGGAAGTGCTCTCTGTGGACAACACACTTCAATCGTGGGACCCAAATACGGCTTTATTCAGAATTCCAAGTCTGCCAAACACTAGCCCACCTTCAGAAATATTCTTCTGTCAGCTTGAAAATCACTTAGCTGCACAAAACCCATGGATCCATTACAGATTAGAAATGTTTTAGTTCAGAAGTGTTATGGTAATTGGAAGAAGAGGAAGAAAAATCCTCCTAACATTAGCTTAATCTATGCATTTAAGAGAGCTTTATAGACAATTATCTTTACTGCTTTTCTTGTGCCACCATTTTCTCCCTGATAAAAAGTGTCTTTCAATATTAATAGTTGAACCTAAGTTTTAATTGGCTTTTCTTTTAGATATTGCATACATGTGTTTTAATTAATCTATTTACTGAAGCCGACATGTCCTTCAGACTTCAAGCAACGAGATTTCTCTAACGGTGTAACATGCAAGAAAAGCGCTTTTTCCAAAGTGCAGCCACTTCGAAACAAGAAAGAAGACACATAATATATTCTTAAAGTGGTTAACTCCAACACAACACATTCCTCTTACATGGGATTCCTAAAGTCATACTTCCTTCTATTTTCTGTTTTAGATTACAGCCTCGTAGTTCAGATGTGAAGAGTAAAAACAAGGTCCAGTTTCTAGCATGCAAGTTGCTATTAAACTATAGCAAATTAACTAAAAATTTAAACTTACCCTTATCATCTTCAGTAATCACTTTATCCATCACATAATCCACATCAAAAATATATCGGTAAAAGCAGAGCTGAGTGTACAGGGCCTTATCAGAATA